CTCCTGTTTAGATCTAGAAGTAAAAGTATAGACATCCATCATTTAAAAAAATGTTTAATTTCATTTGTTTTAGCTAGTACACAGAAATACTAAAATTGTTCACATTAATGAGGTAATATGTGTTGATATTATCTGCATACATGCAAGGTTTAAGTCAACTTACACCCATGTGTCTCATTCTGAATGTTTAATAAAAGTCAAATACTTATCAATTCTAAAAAAAAAAAATCCTTGTTGCTAGCATTCTGAAATGTACAGCATAGTACTAATGGAGCTCCCGTCATATGTAGTCTGGGTCCTTTGTCTTGAAGAATTTGAAGAACAAAATTTCACGGCCAAGGAAGAAAGGTGAGAGCCAAGTACTGAAGTTTGTTTATTTAGAAAACCAGCAAAGCTCTCAGGGCCAGGAGAGCTCCTAGAGTAGGCTCCACCAGCAGTCTTTTGTCTAGGGGTCTTTATGCAACGTTTGGGCCAACTGGGGAGTATGTCACACACACACACACTTCCCACACGTCTGATACTGCATTGATCACCCTTGACCTCATGCAGGCCAGGGGCCTATCAGCCAGAAGGCCAGTTATGGTTTGCACATGCTCAGAGGTGCCTGCTGGCTGACAATGAATTTGCATCACACTGTGAGACATTGCATGACATCTTTTTTCTCGTCATTACTGCTGTATAAGGTCTCCTTATGGTGCAACAGCACAGGACTTCCTTTTCCTATCTACCTGTAAGTTCCTGAAGATCAATCTTTCCCCATCTCCCCCTCCCCATTTACCTCAGTCTCTGGGAACCACCATTCTCTCATTTCTATCATAGCTATCTTTTTAGATCCCACAGATTAGCTCATGGGGTATCTGTCTTCCTGTGTCTGGCTTAAAATTCCATCCAAGTTGTCACACAAAACAGAATTTCATTCTTTGTGGCTGAACAATATGCTATGATGTATGGGTAACACATTTTTCTTTCCCTATTCATCAGTGCCTGGGCACTGAGGTTGTTTTTCACTTCTGGGCTACTGTGAACAGTATTTCAATAAACAGGAAGTACAGATTACTTTGTCATCCTCACATTATTTCCTTTGGATATATTGCCAGTTAGAGGATTGCTGGATCATATGGTAGTTCTGGTTTTAAGTTTTTGAGGAAACTCCATCCTATTTTCTGAATGGCTACATAATTCATGTTCACACCTACATTGTACAAAGGTTATTTTTACCCACACACTCACCAGGGTTTGTTAATTTTTTTCATTTTGGCCATTCTTACTGTGATGAGGTGATGTCTCACTGTGGGTTTGATGCATTTTCTTGATGATTTGTGTGATGTGGAACATTTTTTTACATCTATTGTTGGGTCATTTGTATGTGTACCTAGATCTACTGCCAATTTTTTAATCAGGTTACTTTTTAAAGCAGGTTATTTTTGTTTGGCTTCATTACCCAGTTTTTGGAGTTCGCTTTACTTTGTGGATATCAACCTCTTTTCAGACAGATACAGTTTGCAAATATTTTCTCCCACTTTACAGACTGTCTTTTCACTCTTGATTGTTTCCTTAGCTGTGCAGAAGATTTTTAGTTGGAAGTGATCTTGTTTGCCTACTTTTACATTTGCTTCCTGTTTGCTTTCAGTTTGCCAAAGATGGATGTGTTTCTTTCAGGTCTTTATTTTTGTTCCACTGGTCTATGCATGTTTATTTAAACCAGCACCATGCCACTTTCATTACTACAGCCTTTTAGAATATGTTCAGTGATGTAATGCAATGCTTTTTGCTTTGTTATTGTTCAAGGTATCTTATTTGTTCAGTTGATTCTTCTTTATTTGGGTACTGCTTTGTTAGGGGTGTGTGTGTGTGTGTGTATGTGTGTAATTGTTTTTCTTTTTCTTTGAGGAATGTTATAGATTCATAAGGCTTAAACATTACTTTTGTAAGGTCCACTCCTGGATGGTGGGTGGGCAGACTCCACCCTCTTAGCAGCCAAGTCTCCGCCCAGTATCTGTGTTACCTAGGCAACTGGCACACCTGGAAGAGGTCACATCTGCATCCTCTGAGGTCACATCTGGATTCAATGTGGCCACACCTTTCCCTGCCCCTTCCCTAGATAAGGCCTAGCCCAGGGCCAGCGGCCCTCTTTCTCAGCTTCTTTCCCAGGCACATGGAGTGCCAGCATGGCCTAATGCCATGTGCGTGGTATTGTTCTTACACGGCCACCTCTTCTTTAAAAACCTAACAACTTTGAGTAGTATAGATATTTTAATATATTGAGCCTTCAATCCATGAATACAAGAAGTCTAACCATTTTTGTGTACATCCTTACCAATTTCTTCTTCTTCTTCTTCTTCTTCTTCTTCTTCTTCTTCTTCTTCTTCTTCTTCTTCTTCTTCTTCTTTTTTGTGGGTCATGGGGCTTGAACTCTGTGCCTGGACACTGTCCCTGAGCTCTTCAGCTCAAGGCTAATGTTCTACCACTTTAGCCACAGCACCACTTCCAGTTTTCTGGTGGTTAACTGGAGATAAGAGTCCCATGGACTTTGCTGCTGGGGCTGGCTTTGAGCCGTGATCCTCACATCTCAGGCTCCGCAGTAGGTAGGATTATAGGTGTGAGCCACGGGCGTCCGGCTCATCCTTACCAATTTCTTTCATCAGTGCTACCTATCATTTTCTTTTGGAGAGTTATCAATACACTAATAAATGATACATAATGTTACAATAAATGATATGTATCATTTTGCCCCTGGGTAGCTAGAAAGTGGCTAATTGTAGAAGAACTTAGTTTCCTAATTGGTCACAGTTCCCCTGTGGTTATGCTCTTGACAGTGCCAGGGATATGGAGATATTTTTATCATATCTATCATTTCCCGCCCTTCATTCTTTCAAACATAGTCAGAAATACTTTTTAAATTGATTTTTAATTCATTGAAGTACGCATGGTGGAGCGCACTGGTAACCCAGGTACTCTGGAGGCAAAGTACAAGGATTGGGATTTGGTGCCAGCCTGGAGGGAAGTGTAGATCTGTATCTGAAAAACAAGCTAAAAGCAAAGGCTACAGGAAGAAACTAATTCAATTAACAGGAATGATCTAATTTTTCTGAATTTAATAGTGAACTCTTTTTCTGAATTTCACAGTGGCACACCTGAGGCCCAGAGGATGGAATGAGGAAACAACCATTAAAGTTCCCCAGGCTTGACCAAGTGGCCTCATGAAGCCTTGCCAAGGAGAGGCAATTAGGGTCCTTGCCTCTCCCCTCTTGGCCCAATCAGAATAGGAAGGATGTACGGCTCCCCCGCCCCCTATTGTCTCAGGGCCATACAGATGCCAAGCAAAATCCCAGGTATGTGTGAACTTGTTTGATGTGCTGGCAGGACAATCTACCTAAGCCCAGCTGTAAACATCCCATTGTGGGCCCAACTGAAAAGCCCCCACCTCCCTTGACCTAGTGGCTTTTCATTAACCTCTGCCTCCTTGCTCAGACCTCATACAAAAACCCAGCTCCTGTCCCAACTCTCTGGCACAACCTCCACACCCGCGGGAAGGTCTGTGTTCCTCGCTGTTCCTCAAGAAACAGCCCTTGCCTGTGGATGATGGAGTCCAGCCTATTCCTTTCCCTTTCTCCTCCATTTCCCAACAATCACAGGCCCTTTCTCACTGTCAGGAAAAGCCTTCTTACAAGTCTAACCTCCAAATCTTACTCTGAATTCAGAAAATTCTTTAATTCTAAGTCTGACTTCTCTCATTCAATATAACAATGTAATAACAGTGGCAACTCTTACAGAGCTTCTTTTAGACAATAACATATCTACTACATTACTGGGTGTATGTGAATGAGAGTAAATACAAATATTTAAAAGCTGGAAAAAGGCTGGGAAGGTGGCTCAGTGGTAGAGCGCTTGCCTTGCATGCATGAGGCCCTGGGTTTGATTCCTCAGCACCACATAAGCAAAAAAGAAAAAAGCCGAAAGTGGCGCTGTTGCTCATGTGGTAGAGCGCTAGCCCTGAGCTGAAGAGCTGAGGGACAGCGCTCAGGCCCAGAGTTCAGGCCCCATGACTGGGAAAAAAAAAAAAGCTGGAAAACTCAGAACTATCCATTATTATAAGACATTACTATAAACTAGATGCCTGTTTGTTTTTTTTTCAAGTCTATCAGATTGGTCTAATCCAGTGTTTAGACCAATCAGAAAGAGGGACACCATCAGAAAGAAGGCCTGGAAGGACAGGACGAGGACTTGGGGGTGTTTGGATCCTACTGCTTCTTTAAGTGGGCCTCCCACGCACAGTCCAGACAGACTCACATTCAATATTAGCACATGTGGTGTTTTTGTACATCAATCCATCACCTTTGATAATCTCCATTTTATATCTGTCCACTCAAAAGCCACAGTATGGATTCTTACATTCAAAGAACAAGATGGTTATTTAGAGTGGGGTGAGTATTTAGGAGCTATTGTGTAAGAACAATCACATCCTATAATTCTATCATTTATTACTATTATGATTCTATCATTTATTGCTTAGTAGTCTAAATAGTGATATTTAGAATTGGAGAAATTAAAAGAACATGAGTACTTTCCTAACATATACCAAAGCACAAGCAACAATGCTAGTTCTACTAGTTCTACTGTAAGTTTACTTCTGTGATGTCTGTGTAGTCATACGATCATGGCTACTGCACTTCCTAGCTTTACTTTTTACTTTGTCTTGGTTTTACTTTGTGCTGGTACTGGGGCTTGAACTTACAGCCCTCAAGCTCTCAGTCAGCTTTCCTTTGCTCACACCTGGGGCTCAACCACTTGAGGCACACCTTAGTCCCTAGCTTCATTGAATTGCTCATGCACTGGTGAATGTAATAACTCATTAGGGAGGAAGTTGAAGAAAGACAAGTTGGAAGGTTTCGAAATGGTGGAAATCCCAGAGAACAAAACTGAAAGGGAATTGGCCTACATGAGGGAAGGGTATAAAGGCAGTCCCTCAACAACAATTCCAGTTCATTCCTGAGCCAAACTCTCCTTCTTGAACAACATGATGCTCAAGGTATTGTGCCTTTTTTATGTGCCTTGCTCCAAATTGCTTTTCCAGCTTACTTCTTCCTTTCTCAGTCTTCTCAGATGTTAAAGCGACCTGTTCTGCTTCAGGTATTGCAACTTTTCTCATAGCTTCTGGGCTACTTAATTAACTGCTTATCCATCTTATTGGCCTTCTACAATAAGAGGCATGATTCTGCTACATAATACCGGGAATAAATGGTGTATAATACTATGAATTATTGTAGACTTGTGGGATTTGAACCTCTTGGTTTTCTATCTGTCCTTGATGACTTTTCCATGCTCCGTTGCGAATGATCTGTTGGCTATGTAGTCTCTGAGAGCTTTAGTGAGTAAAAAGTGGTTGGACAATTAGCATATTTTGCACAGTGAGTTCACAAGAACTCTTGCCATTTATTTATTAGAGCTCTACATCTTGCGCTTTAATCCGTCTATTTGTCACTGTATTTTGCTAAAAAAAAAAAGATTCATATGCCACAAGAAAGTCAAGCAAACCAGAAAGAGATGTTAGATGTGAGAGTGTCACCCGTAGACAGCAGAGTAGCTGAGTTCATTTCCCTCTTCCTCCTTCTTCCTCCCACCCATCTTTCTTTTTGTCCTTTCTTCCACAGCCAGGGAGGGGCCCTTTGTCTTCTGGCTCATGAGTGGTACTCAGAACTTGCCAGGGGATCCTTCATGAGCCCCCAACAGCATGGCCTCCAGTAGATCGTGGGTGGGTTCATACTGGAGTGCCTCACCTGATTCCCAGGCACATATCAGTCCTTGAAACTCTGGGCTGAACTTGGCAGATCATCAAGACAGTTCGTGTTCCTCCTGTCTTGTTTAGCAGCATTAAAATCGGTGCTATGGTTACTCTCTTCCCTCATAAGAAATAGTCATGCCAGCGCCATTCTCCCTCCGGCCAGCTTTTCTCGTGCGTCCTTCCTCCAAGCTTCCCTCTCTTTCTATCAACCAAAGCTTCAGAGACTCAAAGAGTCATCCATCTTTCAGAAGAAGGGTAGGGATTTCCTGACTTGAAAAAATCTGGAGTCTCTAAGAATAGAACCAGATGATGGTCAGGGTGGAGACTTTTTTCTGGGCACTGGTTCCACCTTTGTAACTTTTCTTTGGCCCTGAGCTCAGTAGAAGAGATTCCCAGCCACCTCAAATCCCTAAACTAGCAATCCCACACCCTGCTCATTTATACTTGTAGATGGGGAATCTAATGCTCAGAAAAACAAAAGAAGTTCTGAAATCATGTCATCTTTAGAGAAAGACAGCTGCTTACATCATATCTTACTAGGGGCTACTACTAAATGGTAGGCATATGCTGAAATACCCCTAAGGTTGAATGGTTTGTATTGATGTGTATGTATGGAGTGTGTGAATGTGTGTGTGTGTGTGTGTGTGTGTGTGTGTGTGTGTGTGTTTAGCAGCCCTCTCAACCCTGGTTTACGCTGCTACCTCTGCCTCCACCCTCATCTTCATCCTCTGCATCTCACATAGCTTATCTCTGGGCTTTCCTAACCAGACCAGGTACCCCAGTTGTCTAGTGGTCCCCATCAGGCTTCAGAAGCATTGACTGCACCTCTAGTCCTTTAAACTCCCTAGCAGCCATGTAATGAAAAGCAAAAAGAGACCAACTAAATTGGTATTTTATTTACCAATCTATCCTAAACATTATCAATATTGTTATCAAATATTAATTCAGTACATAATCCATATTTTTAACTAGTAAGATGTGTTATAGGCTTTCTTGTCAACTAAGTCCTGAAAATTCAAGTGTTTATTTCCCTCTTCTGTCTCAGTTTGGACTGGTCATCTTTCCAAGTGCCCAGCAGCCATAAAGAGGAGTAATGCCATACTACTTACATACATAACACATGCTACATATATAACAGAAGCAACACATTTTTAAAAATCACATAAATGGTTGGGAGTCACAGTAAAGCATTTACCTAGCATTCGATAGACCTGGAACTCATTGCTCAACACCACATTTTTAAGTCACCTAGAGAAGGGCGCAGTGGCTCATGTTTATAATCCCAGCTACTTAGGGGGCAGAGATCAGAAAGATCACAGAAAAATCAACCCAAGCAAAATACGAATGAAATCACTTCTCAACAAAACAAGCAAGGCTACATAGGAGGCAAAGATAAGAGGATCACATTCAGAGGCTGGCCCTGGGCAAAAGCATAAAGCTTTTTATTTTGCTTTGAACTAAAGCAAAATATAAAATCAAGTAAAAGTCACCTAGAGATCTGAATCCAGAAACTGCTATGCGAGGCTTCCCCAAGTTGTTATTCTGGAGAGAGACTAATTCTAGCCATCTAGAGTTAAGGCCAAAGACGTACCTTTGCAACAAGAATCCCAGCTGTCTCTCATGGTCTGCAGACTAACCTTTGGAAATGTAGCTTTAATACCTAAGTGCTCTGATTATGACAGCAGAGCCCCCCACTGGGGGATCTACTCAAGAGCTATAAAAATCAGTGAATTCACTTTGTTAGGTCTCACTTTCCTCACCCAAATGAGACTGATAGCCACCACCACAGAGCCTTGGGGGTGTTCAACAGTCAATGTATTTGAAGTACTCAACACCGTGCCTGGCGCAGTCAGGTAGGCCTCGTGACCAGCCTTCCCCATTGCATGGGTGACATGCCCTCTCTGCTCTCCTTTACTTCTTAGGCTTTCCCCCACCATCACCCGGCATGCTCTGCCGCCACCACATGTCCTCAACTCGCCCCAGGGCAGAACATGGCTCCCATGCTAGTCCACATCCCTGAGCTACATACACAGATTTTTAGAAGAAGTAGAACTACATTTTACCCTTTTCCTCAAGGTTTCCTCATGAAAAGAAGTGTGTGTATTCCAAGTGGGGTGTGTCCTATTCAACCCTCTTCTCTTTGAAGTCTGTCACAGAGAGCTTTGCCAGCCTGATCCACGGCTTGACGGCAGGACACCTGACGGACTCCGTCATTCAGAAGAGCAAGAGGATGATCCTGGACACTCTGGGTGTCGGGCTGCTGGGCACCAGCACGGGAGTGTTTCACAAAGTCAGCCAGTACAGTAAAGTAAGCTCAATGCTTATTCAAAAGATAAAAACAATGTACATGCTTGCCTATGCTGAAGTAGGCCCAGAAGTGTGCACCTCCCTTTATTTACTCTACACTTCATTTTATAAGTATCACTCCATGTATATGGGCGTCATTTCGATTCTCTCATTGATCCTCTCGTCATTACCTGATTTTTAAAATTCATCTACTACCTATATTCAGATGTAAGATCATACACTAGGGCTCACAGTTTATTATTATTACAGCCCAAAGCACAGGCCAGCCTGCAAGTCTTCAAAGCAAAGGTAGCTATTACTACACAGCATTTGTTCATAGAAAGACTTCAAGATTAACTGATCCCGGGCTCTGAACAGAGAGTGGGCCTGGACACAGGACAGAATCATCCACTCTCCATAGAATGGTTAGTCTACACCTCCAGTATCTAACCCCTCTTGGGTTAGATATGTCACAGTGAATTCAAAACCACATCTCTGGAGCACTTCTAGATCATGACCTAGATACAGCAACCTTACCCTCCCGTGGGTAAGGTTGCAAATCTTTGCAGAAGGGACATCAAGACCTCTATCCACCACGTTTTTAAATAAGGGCTATTAATAGATCATCTCCAAGGCTGAGAAATCACTATTGGGCCACTGCCCTAAGACATTTGTGTTGATTCTGCATCACTGATGGGTGTTCTTCTATTGCAGATCTACAGCTCCAATACATCCAGCACTGTTTGGGGTCAGTCGGACTTCAGACTCCCACCCACATATGCTGCTTTCGTAAACGGTGTGGCTGTAAGGATGTTTACATATCTGTTCAACTATTAGATGATTGTTATAAGTTGACAGCCAGAAAATAACCCTGAAGTTGTCTAACTTCCATGTCTTACATAAGTGATCATTGAAATAAGGGAGATGATGAGCCTTTCTTCTCTCTCGTGGAGAAATTCTAGTTTTCATTTCTTTACAATAAGTTGATCCTCTTTGAGTTATGGAATACTGTAAATAAAAGGATGTAGGGTTTTTTTTTCTTTGTGCCAGTCCTGAGGCTTCCACTCAAGGCAAGAGAGCTGTCCTTGAGCCTAGCCTAACACTAGAATTCTATCACTTGAGCCACACCTCTACGTATGGCTTTGTGGTGGTTAATTGGAGCTAAGAGTCTCTGAACCTTTCTGCCCCGGCTGGCTTTGAACCACAATCCTCAAATCTCAGCCAACTAAGTAGTTAGAATTACCAGAATGAGCCACCAGCACTCAACAAGGTTGTTTTTGTTTTGTTTGTTTGTTTGTTTTTAAACTCTCCCAGGTACCTCAAATCTCATCCTTAATTTTTTTTAAGGATCAAACCCAATACCTAGACACAATTTATCCTTAATTCTTTCTGTTGTGGGTACCAGTTGCTTCTCTTCATTGATTTGACAGTATTTATTGAGAAAGAAATAATGGCCATATGGTGTCTATATTTTCTGAATCAAAAGTCAATACTTGTCATCTGATGGGTCATTTTTATGGTTTTTTTCTGTGTGTCAGGGGAAGTATACAAGATATCATTTGGGCACTAACATGTTGGGATTCCTGAGACATTTTTATAGTTTATGAGGACAGTTGATCAAAATATAGAAAGGCAAACCCAGTGGTGCATTCAAAAGTCAATGGCCAGCTAGCTGCGAGAAACACAGTACACATATCAAACTCACATAAAAATCTGTTTTCAAATGAACTGCTAGTAATTTTTTTAATATATGGGAAAAAAACAAATGCCTGGCTTGGTTGAAGGAAAATAAAATCCTATAACAGAAAATAATGGCTTTCAAATACAGCTTAATAGTTCATCTAAAATTGAGAGATCTTGCACTATTCTTGCAGGTGAATGTTTAAAATTACTTCAGAAGACAGACCCACAACAAAGTGTATGGCCTGATATATCATAACTGGAATGAACTTTAGATATGACGTGTTTACAGATGCAAGAGAAGAAGAAAGAGCAGCTTCGCAAGAGAGAATATAGATTTTTTTCAGGGGCTCCAGCCATCTAGGCAAGATCTAAGGTGCTTGAGATTTGTAAGAATCTTTCTAAGGTCTAGCCCTCCTCTAGATAGAGACAGGGTGCCTAATGCCCAGTCCCGTGATTAAGAACCACAGCCAGTTTTCAGGTTTGAACATCAGAGAATCAGTTAAAATAAAGTCACAGCAAAAATGGTTCACTGCTAAATTAGGTCTTTACTGGCCCCAACGCCAATGCATTCAAGTAAATTCTGAAGGGAGTTGTTTGCACCTGTTGACGCAGATTCACTCCATGGATTTTGATGACACGTGGCACCCTGCCACACATCCTTCTGGAGCAGTCCTTCCTGTTCTCACAGCTTTAACAGAAGCCTTGCCTCAGAGTCCAAGGTTTTCTGGCCTTGACCTGCTGTTGGCTTTCAATGTTGGTGTTGAAGTTCAAGGCCGATTAATGCATTTCTCCAAGGAAGCCAATGACATACCAAGGAGGTAGGGAAAGCTCTGCGTTTTATCTACCTGTGAGTCTCTCTGTAGAGCTCGGTTGGTGATGTTCACAAGCGTGCTGACAAATGTATCAGCTCTGGGTGAATACCAACCCTATGTCCATACATAAAACTATGACCTTAGAAGTACAGCATAAAATTCCTTTGAGTTCTGGTCTATCACCCTGGTGTGACCATGAGTACTCTTGAGTCTTACTGACTCCATTCTCAGAACAGAACCTACTCCGATATTCACTAGGGTCCTTCAGCCTAATGAGAACATTTGGAGTACCCCATCCATGACTGTTCATCATGCATATTGTAAATAGCCAAATGCTGGCTATATATTATAGGGCCCAATCAAAGCATTGATTTTGCCTCGTGGGCCTGTGAGGAGAAGAATGTATTGGACTAATGTCTGGTGAACTTCCATAGTTTCTACAAGAGCCTTAATTCTTACTGTTATTTTAACATTCAACAACTTTTACACTTATGGCAATAACTTAAACAGTTCTATTTATAAAGAACTTGCTATTAGATACTACTGTAAAACATATGATTCATTCAAAGTTCCTAAACCCTATGAGGTGAAAACTTTTTATCACAACTTATGTAAGAAAAAAATAATTATTCCAACATATGGAATAACTTTCCTAGGATGACTGCTAATAAGTGTAAAGAAAGGATGAGATTTAAACCAAGGTAGTGTCTTCCTAACTGATGGTCTTGACTGCTGTACAACACTGCCCCCTGGTGGTGCATATTTGTAAGTCTCCAATCTGTATTGCTTTTCAGATTCCATCCCCCCTCCGTGGTAGGAACTTTGGGCAGTGCTGCGGCTGCGTCCAAGTTTTTAGGACTCAGCTTGACCAAGTGCCAGGAAGCCCTGGCAATTGCCGCCTCTTATGCGGGAGCACCCATGGCAAATGCTGCTACTGAGACCAAGCCCCTTCACATGGGCAATGCTGCCAGACACGGCATAGAAGCCACTTTGCTAGCCATGCTGGGGCTCCAAGGAAACCAGCGGGTCTTGGACCTGGAGAGGGGGTTTGGGGCCTTCTATGCCAACTATTCTCCGAAAGTCCTTCCGAGCTTGGATTCTCATACATGGCTACTGGACCAGCAGGATGTGGCCTTCAAGAGTTTCCCGGCACATCTGGCCACTCACTGGGTGGCTGAAGCGGCAGGGGCTGTGAGGAAGCGCCTTGGGCCTCCAGGTGGAATCCTGTTTCCTGCTGACCACATCAAGAAAATTGTGCTCAGGATCCCAGATGTGCAATATGTCAACAGACCCTTCCCAGACTCAGAGCATGAAGCCCGTCATTCCTTCCAGTATGTGGCCTGTGCCATGCTGCTCGATGGCTGCGTCACCGTCCCATCCTTCCACAAACCCCAGATCCACAGGCCACAGGTAAGAGAGCTGCTTGGGAAGGTGGAGCTGGAGCATCCTCCAGACAACCAGCCCAACTTCAACTCATTGTACTGTGAGATCAGTGTCACTCTCCAGGACGGATCCACCTTCACCGAGCGCTCTGATACCTTCTATGGTCACTGGAGAAAACCACTGAGCCAAGAGGACCTAAGGGGAAAGTTCACAGTCAATGCCTCCAGGACACTGTCCTGGGACACTGTGGAAAGTCTTATAAAGGTAGTAGAAAAGCTAGAAGACCTAGAAGACTGTTCTGTGTTGACCACACTTCTGAAAGGATCATCTCCTCCAGAAGAGGCTTCAAAATATCCAGAAGACAATCCTTCCATTGCTCAATCTCTCCCAAGTCTGACCAACATGTGAAGGCCTTTGCATATAAAGCAGAGGCCTGCTGCTCCAACCACTCAGGAACAAAGCAAGGTCAAGTGTACAGATACAGAACAATGTGCGTGCATCTGGAAGTCATCTTGTCCTATAAAATTGTGTGGTATCTTTAACTTACCTTCAAGATACTATTTAAGAAATTATTTTATAAACATTCACAAGGATGAAGTTTAAGTCCTCTGTGATTTTTGCTTATAAAGCTGTGTATATTTATGAACTTCCTGAACCTCAGGGCTCTGGGCTAGACCACAGCAGGTTTCTTATACAATATATTGTTGATCCCTTCCATACTGCAAGAGATGATTTGGCTCCTGGGCATCTACCCAGAACACCATTAGCAGGGATACCATAAAGACACTTGCACATCCATGTTCATTGCTATGCTGAGAGACTAAATGATGTATGTGTTATCACATATGCAGAAGCTAGATCTAAAACACATAATAAACTATACAGGACTCCAGGCATTCACACACGGTGAGGCCAAGGGAGGGCACTCTTAGGGGAGAAAAACAGAGGTGTAATGCCTCTGGGCCTCTGATCATTATAGAAAAATATATATCAAAATGAACTCGAGGAAATGGAAACAAGAGGGTTTTGTTCTCTTTTTTTTGTATTGTGTGTTCATTTTTCTATCTTACAGGGGAGGGTAAGAAAGGTCATAAAAATGGTGGGACATAAGGTGAACAAATGCATCAGTGGGTCTCAGTAGAAACTATGTTGAAAATGGACTATACAACTTGAGGGTGGAGATGGGAGGGGAAAATGGGAGAGAACAAGGAAAAGGAACAAAAGGAAAGAAATGTTCTCATTATCTGTGAAATGTACTCATTCATGCACCCATACCTATTAAGGTACTCATTACTTATGAAACAGTAACACCTCTATACATCACCTTTGTAACAACAACAAAAAAATTGAGATGATTTGGGGGATCTGTGGGTTCAAATCCTGCCCCTTCCACTTAGTACATGGATCCCTGATCATATTACCAAGTATTCTCTGCTTCCTTGTCTCTATCTATAAAATAAAGCATTTTTTAAAAGTAGTTGGGCAGGGGACTTGGCTCAAGTGGTCTAACTCCTGTCCACTAAGTGTGAGTTTCTGAGTTCAAATCCCATCACTGAAAAAAATTAGAAAAAGAAAACAGTAGTATGTCTTAGACAGAGTGCCCTATCCAGAAGGTATGTTCTACTTTCAACTCAGATGGCTGGGATGCTTGGAATCTTGGATAAACAGTAACAAGCCCTTCTTCATGGGAGGACATACAACTCTGTGAACCAGACTAACATTCTTTATTAAGAAGTGTCAAGACAAATTCCTAGCTGGGCACTGGTGGCTCACACCTGTAATCTTAGTTACTCAGAAAGCTGAGAGCTGAGGCTCACACTTTACAGCCAGTCCTGGAGCAGACAAATTGGAGAGATACTTATCTCCAATTATCCAGGGGAAAAAAGTCAGAAATTGAGCTGGGGCTCAAGTGGCAGAGCACCAGCCCTGAGTGAGAAAAAGCCAAGAGAAGCTGGGTGCTGGTGGCGCACGCCTGTAATCCTAGTTACTCAGGAGGCTGAGATCTGAAGATCATAGTTCAAAGCCAGTTTGGGCAGGAAAATCCGTGAGGCACTTATTTCCACGTTAACTATCAAAAAAATCTGGAAGTGAAGTTGTGGCTCAAGTGATAAAGTGCAAACTTTGAGCAAAAAAAGCTCAGGCTCTGAGTTGAAGCCCTAGAATGGTCACACCCACAGAGGAGAGCATAAGAGAACATTACTAAAAATGAAGAGGGCTATTACATAATGACAAAATGTTCAAGTTGCTACTTAACTAAAATAATCTACTGTTAAACAGAACTTATTTGATGGCAGTAGTACTAGGATTTGAACTCAAGTCCTTCCACTTACCTGTCAGGCACTGTAGCACTTGAGCCACACCCCTAACCCCTTTTTGCACTGTTTCTTTTCAAGTACTCTTAACTTTTTACCTGGGCTGGGGATGACTTCAGATCTCCATCTTATGACCCAAGACCTCCAAGTGGAGGTCATCACAAGTATATACCACCATACCTGGCTTTATGTAAATGGAGTCTTCCTAATTTTCTGCTTAATCTGACCCCCAAATCATAGTCCTCCCAATCTCTGCCTCCCCAGTAGCTAAGATTACAGATGTTCACTACTATATTTGGCCTTAATGATATATTTTTAACATTTCTCTCAGCAGCAACAGTTAAAAAAGTAACAATGAATAGATATACTCTGCAATACTTAAACAAAACCAACATATGTTTACATCTATAAAATAGAAAATCTTGCACCTCAAAACTACAGAGTTGATATGTTATATGACTTTACAAAAAATACTAAAGCATAAAGCAGATTTATAAAACTTTTCAAAGAACTGGATGATAAATGGTATTTTCTCTCATCATAATGTAATCAGGTTAGAAATCAATGTAAAGAGAGCTAATTAATGACCTTTAGACAAAATTTAAACATAATTGGTGAACTTTAGATAAAACATAAACTCTGCCAGGCGCTGGTGGCTCACGCCTGTAATCCTAGCTACTCAGGAGGCTGAGATCTGAGGATCGCGGTTCAAAGCCAGCCCGGGCAGGAGAGACCATGAGACTCCGATCTCCAATAAACCACCAGAAAACCGGAAGTGGCACAGTAGCTCAAGTGGTAGAGCGCTCGCCTTGAGCTGAAGAGCTGAGGGACAGTGCCCAGGCCCAGAGTTCAAGCCCCACGGCCGACAAAAAAAAAAAAAAAAAAACATAAACTCTTTTCCTGTCTTAATGTTTCAGAAATTCCTAGAGACAAGCAACCCCTGACAGCTCTTCAAACCAACAGCTGGGAGACACTTGCTTAGGAACAGCCAGGATGGCCTGACTAGCATCCCTTGTACCCGCTGAGCTAACTGAAGGCAGAGCACATGCAGACAGGATGTCTATGTACAGGGAGAATTTAAGGCTCCTCTGATAGGCTCATAGGCCATCTATGTACACCTAAGCCACACACTGAAGCCAAGAAGAAAGCCGAGAGTGGAAAGGGGAAGAGAGATGAGCTCGCCACACTCCTCTCCAGTGACAACTCCTTCCTCAGATTCATCTACTGGGACGGTTCTCAGCAAATGCGCGAGAGACATTTTGCTGGAATATTATAGATAAAGCTGAACCCTCTTGCCTTTTCCTTCCATGGAGAATGAACACTGCTTTGGAGCTTCTCTGTCCTTGAGGAAGCTCTGAATATTAGCTTGGGGAGCCCTAAAGTCCAATCATGGTGGAACATGTTGACTTTTCTCCTTCCATTTTTTCATCTCCTTAAGTTATGTTAACTTACATGCAAACAAATGAACCCCCAACAAGGATCAGGCTGAGCTGGGTGCCAGTAGCTCAGACTTGTAATCCTAGCTCCTCAGGAGGCTGAGATCTGAGGATCACAGTTCAAAGCCAGCCTAGTGAGAAAGTCTATGAGATTCTTGAATGCACTCATTATCTGGCCCATGTAATTGTAACTCCTCTGAACGGTATTCTCACAATAAAAAAGAGAGAGAGAGAGAGAGCTGGAAAATAGAGTACTTGCCTTGGGCAAAAGAGCTCAAGGACCCTGACCACCAGGTAAAATCCCACTGAGACTCAGATGGAAGCTTCCATTTACAAAGAGCCTCGTTCCAGTTCCTACCCTCGGCACACATCAGAGTGCAGTCACCAGACACACTTCCCAGCTCTTCAGAAGCACCAGTCTGACTATTGTGTATGTTTAGGGATCCCCAAGACCACACACCCCTGCAGTGCTTCACTAAAAAGATTCAGTCCTCGAGGCTCAGGCTACTTACAATGAAAGGAACATGACAGAATCAACAAGAGAAAAAGACACAGGCAGGGGCAGGAAAAATCCAAGCATACTCCCTCCCCTGAGAAGATATATCCAGCACGTTCCTTTTCCCACATGTGAGGGTTCAGTTGCATGCATGCAGCGTCTCTGCATTAGGGAGTCTTGATACACACAGTTTTTATTAGGGGCACAGAAATAATTAGAATTCCAAACTCAAAGAAGGAAAAGAGGTGTACAGCTTAAATCACACTGTTTGCAGCCGGCCAGTCTTTTTGGTCAGGGAGTGGCTGTGTACCAAGGTCCCAGACACTGGCCAAGGGCCAGCCCTGGAAGCAACTTTGTCATACAATGAAGAACTGAAGTGATTCTAACCCAGCCCCTTAAAACGAAGATAAGAATTGGGAAGGCATTTTGTGAGTTATATTTTATAACAACTTCATTTGCCAGACGTTGTCAATAACAGATATTAATCATAATCAGGTAAGTTCCCTATGAGGGGCCTAGGGACCACTTCAAGGACCATGATAGTGTATACAGAGAAACATCTTTAAGGATGCTGGATAAACGGCAGGTTGTCTCAGGGCTGGGAAGGTGGCTCAGTGGTAGAGTGCTTGCCTTGCATGCATAAGGTCCTGGGTTCAATTCCTCAGCACCACACAAGCAGAAAAAGCCAGAAGTTGTGGCTGGGTAAACAACAGGTTGTCTCGAGGCTGGGAAGGTGGGTCAGGTGGTAGAGCATTAGCCTTGAGTTGAAGAGCTGAGGGACAGCACCCAGGCCCAGAGTTCAGGCCCCACAACTGACCAAAAAAATGGCAGGCTGTCATTAAATTTGACATGTTATACTGAGGATGTACTATGTGACAAGGGATGCAATTGGTGACAGAATAGTGAACCAAATAGGCAAAACCTCCTGCTCTCCTGAGGTTGCAATCTAGAGTGAGTAAGACACTAAGCAAAAGACAAAATAGGATGAGCAAATCCCCTTTGCCTGATCTTGGTGGCCTCTGATTTCCACATCCCTGCCCTGATAGGAACGCCAGCTTCCGAGCGCTGAGTGGGGTTGATTGATGGAATGAGCGACTTCTGCATCTCTCTGGGCTGGCATAAACAATATGGCTACAAAAGGCCTCCGACTCTGCAGAAATACAACCATCCTGCCAATTGTAGAACCCGTCTCCACAGAGACCAAGACTATAGGGAACCCAAGGTAAGGACAAAGTCATCAGAAGACACATTGCTCTTCCTGCTAGCAGAGTTTATCATGTACACAGTTTATTTGCATGTGTGTGTGTGTGTGTGCACATGTGCGCGTGTGCCCACACACTCACAATCTCTTCCCACCAACATGGAATCCACCCCCCCAAAATGAAGATGGTCACTTATAAATCACTTGGAAATTGTTTCACTCATTTTTTCTTCCCCAACTTTATGAAAAAAGAAAGAAAAACTAGTGCAGGAATGGTGATAATGGCACAAGGATCCAAAGAAAGTGAATGTTTCATAGGCAACTACTCCAGTTCCTGATGCACCTGTGGAGTATATCACAGGAATTTATGATACAGAGCTTTAAAAAAGTGACATTGCTTTATCTGAATCCAAATCAACACAAAATAAACTAAAATTAGCTTAGCTATCTAATTCATTTGTAAAAACAGAAGTCAAAATTCAGACATTAGCATCTCACTTCATTTCTCTCTGGTGTGTGCTGTGGTTATTATCAAAAGTGCCCCCAACTACCTCATTTAGCCTTAGTTGGTGCCTATACAAGAGCTTCAGTACAAATTCTAGAACAGCTCAAGGCCTATCTCTTTGAAATATGGCATGAGTGTTGCTTCTGGCTCTAAAACCACAGTTAAGACATGCTTAGGTACCAATTATCTGTACTAAGCAACTTCGCGATCACTTT